TTCAGCAGATTTCCAGTGGAATGACATGATCTAGGGAGAACCATGTGTCCCTGAAGTGATCAGGAAATCCTTGAGAACCAGTCTTCATTTCCTAATTCTGTTTGAGAATTAGACATGTAAGCAGAGTTGTTTAAGATCTAGTCTGGGAAAAGACTAAAGAAGAACAGAATCTGTACCAACTGCCAAGGACATTGCCTCTTCAGAGAAACAGGAGTTTCTACAAAGATGAAAGAGAACTGTCACTACTAATTGATACCAAAGGTGACATCTGTTTCTTAAAAACACAAACGGTCATTAATTCCATTCTCTTGATTCTCCTGCCTCTTTTTAAGTGCTTCAGCATCTCTATTATCCCAAAGCCCTCATCCTCAACATGTATCTTTATTAATTTTTGCTTTTACTATGACCTCTTAAATATTTCTCTTTATAGGCAGAATATTCACTTCTTTTCACAGTCTCTCTTAGCTGGTTCTAAAATCCTTGCATTATGAAGTTTGATCTCCTTAATATGGACAAATGTTGGTGTGTCCTTCTCTTCTCACCACCCAACCATCCACTCCACCCTCTAACCCTCATCCCCACCACCCACCACCCTTTCTCTGGGTAGAGGCTCTTCCTGACTCAGAACTTTATATTATTTTTTCATGAGTTACTTGTTATGTAAAATGTACTACATAACCTCTCTCCTTTACCTTCCTTTTCTCATTTCTTTTAATCCTCAAAACTTTTATAAGTCACCATATCCTATCTATTTCTATTATCTTTCCAGCTACCTTGTCAGGTAAACGACAAAGGCACTATTATGCCCAGTTTACAGAGGAGGAGCCTAAACATAGAAAGTGTAAAGAACACAGGTCACAGCTGGTTTGCAGCTTCCAACACAGGTATCTTGGCTCCCAATTCTATCAGACAGTAAAACCTATATTATGAATGGACAGGAACGTAAAACTATGTGCCTCCAGGTCAAGAATTAGTTCAAGACTTTAGATAATTTATTTCTCATGTAAGTCACTGAGAAGGCCAGGCTTTTAGTAATAAGAAGCGCTTTCGGTTTTATCCAAAGAGAGACTATCTACAGGAAATAGAAAAGTTAAGACAAGGTAGGATTGTTCTATGTGTCATCTTATCTAAAAGCTTAGTGACATTATCCTGCAAGATCATATAGCTCTATCTAAATTAATACTGTGCAATCTTCAGAAATGAATTTTATTTCCTAAGATGGCTTTTGTGTTAAGAAAAAAATTCACATTGATCAGCCAAAATGACTATTTTTATTTAGCAGTTATAATTTTCCACTAAGACTTTCCACTAATAAATTGCCATTTAGGTTTATCAGAGATTGATTATAAGTGAGGTTAACAGGAATTGACCCCCTCAGATTTGATGACTCTTAAATGAACTAATAAAGTTAAGTTCCTAAACTTGTAAAGCTGAAGACTAGACCTTGGACCCTTGATAACCTGTCACAGCATGAGGCCCAGCCCAAGAAAACCTAGCAGTCTTTGCTCTTCCCCTCAACACTCACATTTTTTGGCCACAGGACATGGGGTGCAAACATAAGGGCAAGGTTATAGGCAGACATCTTATTCTTGTCTTGTTTCTTTGCTGTTTGGTACAGGAGATCGAGCAACAACTTCAGCAAGTTACGATTGGGTGGAGGAAGAATGAGGAAGAGCAACTGAAGAGCCTCAATCTGCCGTTCCTTATCTGGTATATTGGTCTTGTTTCCTTTATCATCAAACTGCATCAAATCTTGAGGGCAATAGAGGTGATTGCAAAGGAAAGAGAAAATACAAGCAAGGAAAAAAAAAAATCAATGCTCTTACTATTATCCTCCCCTCAACTCCTACTAAAGAAAGACAAAAAAAAAGGAATCAGGCGTAAACAGAGATACAGCAAAATACAATAACAAAATAATGTCAATATGATTCAATAATAAAAAGACGAAAACCTAATTAAAAATGGGGAAAATACCTGAATAAATATTCCTCTAAAGAAGATATACAAATGGCCAAGAAGCATTTATATATTCCGCATCATTAGTTATCAGGGAAAATATAAATCAAAACCACGATGAGACACTACTTCATACCCACTAGTATGACTATAATCAAAAAGACTGATCATAACAAGTGTTGACAAGAATACTGAGAATTAAACCCTCCTGCATTGCTGGTGAAAATGTAAAATGGTACAACCACTTAGGAAAAACAGTTTGATAGTTCCTCGAAAAGTTAAACATAGAGTTACCATATGACCCAGCAATTTTCATTCTTAGGTGTATACCCAAGAGAAATAAAAATATGTCCACACATATCTTTAATAATTCCACCCCTTCACTTTACCTCGCCCAGATAATTTACTGCTAAAATAAATATGAGAGTGAATTATGGCCTGATAACAGGATAATCTAGGCAGCTCCTCATGGAGTCAGAATCATTGTTTCTCCCCTAACAGACTACATAGGTTTTCAATAAAAACAGTCCCCTAGACAACCAGACTTTCAAAGGACACCAATAACCATTTGGGTATAATTCATATAGACCTGAAAATGATTATAGTGCGTTGTTTAAACTGTTGAACTGCAATAAAAATACCAGGTGTAAGAAAGGCAGGTCATACATTCTAGAAACTATTCTTTGTTAATACGAAATTGAAAACAAAATTCTCTTCCAGTTATCAGCAAGGTGTATCAAATGCTACAACTCTGCCGCACCTCAATATGATTTCAAAGAACAGTGACTCACAGGGTAGTGGAAGGCAGGATTTCAAATATTGCACTAAATTAACTCAATAGGAAAGCAAAAAGAAAAAGCATTCTTCATGTCAACCCTTATAAAAAGCTAAACCTATCCATATTTTCCATATCTTTTTCAAAGATTCAACAACTTTCTCTCTAAAATAATTATAAAATTATATAACATTCCAGTAATATTTACTCATTTGTATCATCTGGATTGTTACCAATAGTGCTAAAAAAAATCTAATCTTAGATTTTAAAAATTCAAACTTAGTTTTTTTAAGTAGTAAAAAATATTCAAAGGAAAAAAATCACATATTCATTTTCCTTAAAATTAGAAGCAAGGGCAGAAAAAGAAGTAAATGCAGTATGGATTTTGATGTTGTGTACACTTAAGAGTCTATAGCAGCATAACAGCTATGCAATTTAAGAATGAATTCCCTATCACATAGGCATAAAGGAGAATGAAGAAACTATTTATGAGGAGAAAATGGAACATTCTCCAAGATACAGTAAGTAAAAAAAGCAAACCACAGAATCATGTATATAATAGCCTACCATTACATAAAAAAAGAGAAAATAAATATATGTAATTATTTGTAAGTATATAAAATGTCTTTGGAAGGATACATTAGAAATCATAGCATTGGTTGCCTCTAGGAAGAAAAACTGAGTGCTGGGGAACAAAGGTGGGAGAGAAGCTTTTCACTGTATACTCTTTTAAACCCTTTCAATTTCAACCATATGATTGTATTGCCTATTTAGAAAATAAATAAAATTATTTTTAAAAAATAAACTTCCAAGAGTAGAAATGATCTCAAATGACACATAATAACACTTAGCAAAACCTCAAACCAAGGCAAATGTACCAAACCTGTAAATAACTCAGGTATGTGAATCAATCCAACAAAAAGCATACATTTATTGAGCAACTAAAATATTCAAAGCACTATGTGAGGATCCATCAGGGATATAAAAATAAATAAAACCCAGACTTTATCTTCAAAGGAACTAATTTAGCAAGAGAAACATTTGATTAATCATTTAACATTAAACATTTGATTAAATCAAACTTACTGGCCAATATCTTTGAGTACTCAGAGAAGTCCAGAAATATCATGAAGTCTTAACCAATATTAGCAGAAGTATTGCTGTGGGTTAGTTGCAAACAATAGAAAATCTCCTTCTCACCTCCTATACTCACCAGCAATTTTCAGGTGTGCATGAAAATGTTTATGTGTCAGCAAGGGCTCAGGTAACTCTCCTAGAAACATCTTCAGCAAGGTGGCAACATCATTTGAGTGAAATTCCCCTGATTCCAAGTCAATATCAGTTCCATTATTGAGAGCGTCCCTTAAAATCTGCTGTCGGACACTATTCCCTGGTACTCTAAACAAGCCTTCTACTCGCAAATCTGTTTAGCAAGGAAGAAAACAGAGGGCATGCAAAAAGGAAGCAAAAAGAGAGAGGATGATTAAAATAAGTCATACTACAGGCTACTTTACTCTTGTAACCTTAAAAAGATCCTGAAGGAAGTTTTTGTCTTTTTTCCCAGAGTCATTTAGAACCCACTAGACCCTGAGGAGACATATCTGAATATCCCTGATTACTTGGAGATCTCCCAGAGAAGAGGTGGCCTGCCCAGGAGTCATTCAACCTCCTGAGGAACATCTAGGGACTGAATCTAATCTAAACAATTGAAATAAGCTTGAAAAATAAGTTGAAAGAAAAGCCAAATCTCCCTGAAGGCCCCTTCTCTTTAGCCATCTGAGACTTTGCCTGAAGGAGCTGAGTTGTCTGTGGAGGTTTGTTGCTCCTGTAAATGGTTTCCCAACCCAAAATGAATCTAGAGTCTCTGCGTTGTCCCAGGAATTGTAATCTTAACCTGTCAGATCACCTTTCAGTCTCAGATTCCCAGAAGATTAGGGTCATCCCAACTAAACTATGCTTCCCTCCCAACTAAGCTAATCTAAGAGGACAAAAAGGTGGGATGCATAGTTTTGGTTTGATCTGGAAGAAGTGTGAAAGTTCATGTTTTCAGCTTAGGTATGTATTTATCTTCATATAACTTCCTAATTGAGGAGACCAAGTTCAAATGCTTACCGGGCCAAGCAGATAACAGTAAATGAATTAATAGGAACCATAACAAACTGGAGAGCACATACTACACTCTAGTTAATTGTGTCAAAGTGGCAACAAGGTTCAAGGATGCTAAATCTTCCTATTATCTCAAGAAATTGAAAACCTAACTTTCCTCATTTTAAAACACTGATAACTAATTCGATTTTGTAATTAATCATTTGCCAAACAAATAAAACATGAATACAGATGAATCAAGCCCTTCGGCTGCCAGTTTACTACCTCTGCTTTAGCTCTTTGCACAGTGTCTCACATAGAATAAGCCATAAATAAGTATTTCTGCTGAATTTATCAAAGCATCATATAATGCCACACATTTCACAGACACTCAGCTATGCCAAGCACTTAGAGCAAGGATATAACCAGCATACCAGCATGACTACTAAATAATGAACAGAATCAAGTAAAGAGTATATTTTAACTATAGAATTTTAGAGATGAAAAGTAACTTTGGTGATAAATCATTCTCCTTTGAGTAAATGTTGATTCTTTAGGGATAATTTTTCCAGAAAAAAAATGTCTAAGTCAAGAAGAAATTGTGATTTCATAGATACTATCTAATTTATATACATCTTTGAGAATAAAAAAAAAAAATCAGTACATGAGATAAAATTTAAAAGGAAATATATTTAGAAACATGCCACCTGAAATTATTACTGATTGGTGTCTTTGTTGATGGTTAATTGGCACCTACTAACTGAAGGATGTTAGCTCTCAACAGAAAACTGACAATTCTTAATTAACAAAAAACAACAAAATTTCAAGTAGTCTTACTTTTGTGTAAATACTCAATTAGTTGGTATATCTGGGCAATGCCTTCTTCCGTCAGTGGGGATCCAAATACTACTCCTTTTTCTAAAAAAAAAAAGATACAATAGGACAGGGCTATCTTTCCCACAAATAGTATAAAATCAGCATAATGAAAACCATTCAAGCATCCTATATTACAGTTCAGCAAATGTCTTCACAAGGTCAGAAAACAAAATCCTTAGAGCTAGAAGTGTACCAGAAAATGCAATCAAAACAACTCTCAGTCAACTCTCTGCAAATTTAATATTAGATCGTAGGTTCCCTGGAGGTAAAGACCATCTTATTTAAGTAACAATAGCAAAAATTTTTATATTTAATTTAAAAACAAACAAAAAACAGAACTGAAGAGTCATGATTGTCAAAGCATGACAGATTATCCACTGGAATTGGTACAGGATCTGATATCTGTTACAATATTTAAACTTTTTGCTACCTTAATGATTTTCTTATATTTAATAAAATAAAATAGTACCTCTTTAATATCTTATCAAAAGCAGTGCTATAACATTTTCTGGGAAGACTTTTTTTGGGTGATTCGTAGGTATTTGCCTTATTGAAGCAGTCCATGGAATGAAAACATTTGAGAACTAACTACTACACTAAAAAAATGTTCAAACTTTCCTTACCATACTCTCTAGCTGTGTAACTTTGTTGATTTTTTTAAATATTATTTTAGTGCAGTACTAATAGGACATGAAAATCAAGGTGCCCCTAACAACTACTTAACCTAATGATATCATCTTTCGAGAATTAATGTATTTGCTTTCATTTATCTAGACTTGTTTTTTTAATTTTTATTAAAATTACTTAAGGTTTTCCTACTTATGAAAAATTTTTAAATGACCAAAAATGCTTTACAATATTAGCAACTCCTCAATGAACATGCAGATGTAAAGAGTGAAGCCCAGGTAACAGCTGAGACATGCTTTACAATATTAGCAACTCCTCAATGAACACGCAGATGTAAAGAGTGAAGCCCAGGGAACAGCTGAGACAT